AAAAAAATCTGCATATCAAATATGACCTAATGACTTAACCTTGAAGGCAAAAGCAAGAAAAAACACCTCTTTACTTCACAGGTCAGTTTCTCAAGGAATATTTTGATAAAGCTCTTAAAACTTAAAAGGCCTTGTTTGGGAGAGACCTCTGATTCAAAAGGTTGAAAACATATTTTGTTGTACTGTAAACAAAAGTGCTGAAAATGGTCATATGACCTGTTTCCCTGAGCTTGAATCAAACTAATCCTGCTAAAGCTTAGAAATATGCATGACTCAGTAGCCAAAGCCATGTGTGTATTTGCCCTTGCAAAGTTGCTGCCACCTTTCATTGTCCAAAAGTGCTGTGTTGCTGATCTCCAAACAGCCTCTAGTGCTTTAGTTCTCTTTCCAGAAAAGAACTCAAAACATTGTATCCTGAACTTTTTATTAAAAGGGCCTTTTACAAACAATTTTGAAATCTATCAAGTATATAGCTCCTATTTGGATAAATTAGAAGTAAACTCAACAACATATGTTTTTACCACTCTGCAATTCTACTACTTTCAAAACTTTTATTTTTTTTTCCCTACTGTCTCACTGCTGATTACCTACCCCATTATCTGCTCCACTCTTCCATCTTCTAATGAGATTATCAGTATTCTGTAACTATTTACTACACAATCCTGGCTGTTCTGGAACTAAAGAAATGTTAACTCAAAAAAAAAAAAATTTAAAAATGGTACTATGTGCCTAGAAGGATGATGGAATGATTTGAAATCTCAGTGCAGGCCTAAATGCACTAGGTTTCAAGTATCAGGAACAAATAACCACATATGTACTATCAAATTTCCAGTCTCTCAGCTGCAAAATGAAAATGATACCTTCCTAAACGATGCAAGAGCACAACCCATCAAGTACTAAAATCAAAACCACACATAAATATCAAGTAAACTAAACTCTACTATTGCAAGAAATTGCCAAGATTCAGAACAGAACACTTTTTTTTTTTTTTTAGCATCTTTATGAGTGTCAACCAAGACAGGACAGCACAGAGCATAAGCCAGTTCCTACAAGCAGTTCTCTCAAGACTGAAATTAGTGCAAGCAAGAAAGAAACTTGCAGGCCAGTCCATATGGCACACCTATGTTTTCCAATTCATAAAATCACCATCTTTTATAGCAAAGACCTCTGTAAGATAAAGTACCAAAAAACGATGAGGAACTGGACAACCTTTGAGATGTCCTGTCCCCATACTTCATGTACACAAATGCCAATGCTGCAGCAGTGTTGACAAAGCTATCACACACTCATTCCCTGCCTACTTCAGAGAGAGATGTTTAAAACAAAAAAAAAAAAAAAAAAAAAAAGGAAAGCTTCTAACCTTCACTTTCTCAGCACCACAGATTATTAAATAATAATCAATTTCAATTACTCTGTAATAGAAAACCCTTGTGGTTGAAAGAAGAGAGACTGGAAAGGTTTGTCCTGCCCCTGCACACTGTGGGTGCAGCAAACAACAAAGGAGAATGTCAGGCTCTGTAAAAATAAGGAAGAAGAGTGAAACCTATTCCTTACAATGAAATAGAGTACAATCTCCAATACCAACATGAAAATGGCAGAAACAAATTTTATGAAAATGGCAGAAGCAAATTCTAAAACATTGACAAGTACAAAAATAATTCATAATTTCTTAAAGTAGTATTACATTCTTATTTATTCTTATGCTCCTTAAATGTACCAACATCAATGAGCAAGAGAGTTAGTGGATTCTAAACACTTCTCAATGCTGCAAACTGGCATATATACATTCCTTGTTAGGGCCCCTTCTGGGTGACTCCTGCTATCTTCAAAAAATATACTTAAAAGATCAATGAATTACCACTTTGTACCTTGGCACACACAGAGGGAAGTTGTAAATAAAACCAGGAATGATTCCATTTCCTGGTTGTGTAGATTTTGCTTTGATATTAAAATAAATAAATACTAGGTGTATATATAAGGACACTTTAAATGTTTTTAAGGTTACAGACATTTGAATATTTCAGAAATTTACTACAGACTACACCTGTATACCTAGTTGTATTTACACATCCACAAAACTCCAGGGAAGTAAAGTTTTAAAACAGATCTGAGAGGTCTGTGAAGCCACTCAGCAGCCTTGTGAGTCACACCTGCACTGTCAGGGTCAGTGCCAACATAAAATTTGCATTTTTTTCTGTATTCACAGTGCAATTGATGGGATGCATCACAGCATTCAAGTTTCTAGTGCTGAGCTAATCTGAATCTCAGACTAGACCATTCAGTTTCTTAACTCCAGTAAAACTTACTTTCTATCCTGAGCAAGGCATAAGTACTCATCACTGGTGAACATGAGAGTTGCATCTGGACACTGAAAAAAGCGCATACAACTCTCTTTTAACCCTTCTAACAAACATATTGAAGGAATTTTTTTGTGCTACTTAAATTCCTGCATATTCAGATAAAGTGATCTTGTATCTTTATGGAAGATATTTTTATGCAAGACATTTACCATCCTGATATCCTGGAAGCTATTACTTTTTAGCATATGGTATTCAAATTCACAAATAACAAGTTACTATTATAAAAAAATGGCATTTCAGCTTTTTCCATTGGAACAGATTTTGATGTACAATGATTTCAAGTGCAAATGCATTAAAAGATGCAAGTGTATAGGAAGATATTTTAAACAGTTTTTCTTTATAGACCCTGCACTGGGTATTTCATGAACAGGATACTGAGGAAGACATTTCACTCTAGACAGTTATGCAAAGATAAATTAGTTGAGGATGTAACCTATACTTGCAATATTAAAATGTAAAGAACCATCTACTCAACTACTTCACATGTTTCAGTTGGAACCAACTTTTCCTAGCTTCTTTTGCTTTTTAGATTACAGTGTTAGGCTGTTAACTTAAGACACACTGCTTGCCCTTGCTGCTGCCTTTTTCCTTTCTCTGTGACAGGATTCCTATGGACAACCACAGAGTTGTCTCAGTGTGCTTCATCAACTGGAACTAAAGCCAAGCAAGTGACAGATCATTTTTGCCAAAAATCTAGTGAGCCCTGGAAGCAGCTCAAAACAGAAAACTCAAGTAGGAGCCCTGAGTAAGATTGGGCAAAGCTGTCCGAGAACTAAAACATCTGCCATTATGAAAAGAATCCTTCACAACTAGGAATCTTCTACTCTCCCTATTTCCAGCTGATGAAAGATATGCCAGATAATAATGTAAGGTCCAAAGGGCCAGAAAAAGACTGACTGAAGCCAATATAATGAATACCTCTACTCCACAATCTGGGTTGACAACAAAAAATTCCAAGATCTGAGAACTTAATGAGTCAGAAACCCAAGAACATTTCCTCCAAGTATGTATTTTCAATCAACTGTGCACCTGGATTTTTAGTAGTTTAATCCCAATTTCCTGGGAAATGTCAGGCAAAACAGTGAAAGCGGTTGCCAAAATCAAAACACTGAATCTATTGTTTATTTTAAACCTTCTTGTTGTCATCTTCTAGAAAGGAATCAGACTTGCTTCACAAGACCATTCTTGAAATTTTCTTAGCTATTACTCCCCTTCTCTTCTGTCAGGTACAAGCTTGTCCACCAGTTCACTGTACAAAAACCCACACAAACTAGGCTGACAGATGTTTAATATCCATTTTCCATGATGCATCCCTCTATGCTTAACTAGCATTCTCTTGGCTACCAAGACCAGTCTTCCATAACCAATACAGGAAATCCATATGCCTCTGAATCCATTCCAGAGTCAGTTGCTTAGTTTGGTATAAATTTCAAGGTCAACACACAGGTAGCACGTTCCTCTTCCATCAAAATAATTGTCTTTGTAAAATACTTACTGTCAAATAACATTAAAGTCTCTATTAAAACAAGAGAGAGAGACCTAGAGAAAAATTACTTTGGAAACCACTCTTCTGGCTTCCAGAAACTCACTTAAAACACTTGATCAATACAAACAAAAAACAAGGATTCACTGTTCTCACAAGCACCAGGTACTACAAAGTAGCTGCCTTGCTTTGGATCAGAAGGAGCCTGGCATTACTGTCTGTTTTGTATTGAGCTGCTCTATGTTGAGAGCTGTGAAATCAATCAACAAAAGGGTCGGTTTGGTAAGTTACAGAAAAAGTGACATTTTACATAATCTCTATTGCGTATCTATTACTGTAACTGTTATTTTCCTTTTGTAGCACCACAAAGATGAGATAGTAATGAACTGAAAAGGCAAAGGAATGCAGCTGATAGAAATTTCCAGCCCTCCTTTCAATTTCAAGAGACAACTGATTGACATAAGTCAATGCACCCAACTTCATTCTCTTAAATACTAGTCACAAACCCACAGTCACATCCTATCCAAAGGAAGAGAAAATAGCAATCCTCAAGCTGATCAAACATTAATGTCAGTAGGTAGAGTAAGCCCCAGTTTAGGATTTACTGAAAATGGTACTGGTTTCCATCTATGTACCAGAGATAAAGAAATAGCACGTGACAGAGTTGCCAGCCATTACATCATATATTGGACAAATATTTGTATATATCATCGAGTGTCTCCAACAAGTTGAGCTACAAAAATTAAATTTGCATAATACTGTAAAAATTCCCAGGAAACAGCCAGACAAAAACCTAATATGTAACAGCCTGCAACACGTGCCAAAAATATATCTGTGCTGAAAGAAACATCAACTAGTTGAAGAAAAGGCCCTTAAATACAAAAATTGAACACCAAGGGAAAGGCTTGAATTAGACAAGGGAATCTCTGAAACCTAGATAAAACAACAAAATATCTGTGTTCTCCCCACACTTGGGACTCTATCAAAGAAAACAGTAGTAAGAACAGGTAAAACGAAAAATACACAGCCTGCTGGGTCAACATAAAATTAACACTGTCAAATGTAAAAGAGCAAAAGTTCCTTCCTAGTTTCACTTAATACACAAATTACCATAACTCTTACAAACATTTAAGTAGAAAATAAAAAATAGAATTTACCTTTAAATGTCTCCAGTTCCTTCCTGTTGGAGAAGAGCAAAATTAAAAAAATTAATTAGAAATACCACATGTAGAGCTACAGGATTTATTTTGCATGCTTTAAGACTCACTAAAAGACAAGCAATCAAAGAATTTGATTGTCACCATGTATAAGGATAATATCACTACATGTGTTTACCTAAAGCAAACAAAATCAATCTGTTTATAAATTAGGCCACCACCTCCTTATAACCACATACAATTATACAAATTCTGCCCACTTCTATCTAGCTACATAATTTCCAGATACACTGCTCCAAAGATAACCAAGATTTCCTAAGGCATTAGTTACTAAAGCATCCTTTACTTAGCAGAGATTTACCAATTTACATCACAGTGAATAACAATTTTTATCAATGCTATTCAAAAACATCTTTGCAACACTGAAGGAGAAAAATTTGACAATATCACTCAGTTAAAAGAGAAAGGCAAAGAGACATATAGTGACATTCCTCAGAGGAGAGTAGTTTCAAGTATGGAATATGACACACAACCCACAGTACTCATGTACCAGAAAGCTAAGAAATGAAGAAAAAGATAATAGTATCTTTCTTGCCTTCATACCAGGCCACTTTCTACTTTTAGTGGTTATGCAATTGTGAATGCAGAGGCTATAAAACGGACAGAAATATCTTCTCTGTTTTAAAGAAATTGCAAAATGCTCTCACTGCCATTACTACAAGGTAATGATTCATCATGAATTTAAAGGCTAAAGAAGAATTTATGTAATAACTGAGATAAAGCAGAATGCTGGCCTTACAAAACACTCATTTGCATCAAACATTTTTTCAGTCTGCACCTCAGAGAGTGCCTAGTTAAATTCTGAATTCTGAAGCAAAAGTGACTGTAAGAAAAAGAAATTAAAGATTGAATTCACAGCTGTCCAGATAAATTATTCTATTCTCTATCCACTGACTAAAGCACTCTTCAGTCACCTACCAGAGACACTGTTTCACAATACAGATGCTGTATTAATAATAATAATTGTAATAATAATAACTCCTTCTATCCCTTAGTAGATGATGCAATTCAGCATTTATTCTTGCATTAAGAACAGACAAAACTCACTCAAATCTGAAATAATTTATTCTCTAAGCAGGCCAAAGTATTGTAAAAGAAGGAAGAGAATGAATTTACCTCCACATTTTCAGAGAACATCCCACTTTTGTCAGCAAATGTTAAATACAGGTTTTTGAAAGAATGGGTGCTTTATCAGGAAATAAGCTAGAGTGTGATTCACAGTAAAGAATTCTATTAGTTGCAACTTCCTGTGAGTATCTATTTCCTTTCCTGCTTCTCCTCCATTCCTTTCACAGTTTCTCCCTTTTATACCAGAGAAAAAAGCTACTTTACAATACCTGTGATTTGCAGGCTTATATCCCAAAAAATTTTTCCTAGCATGTACACTCTAAATAGAGTTAGAAAATTCTTAAACACTCTCACAAGTTGCCCTCATTTTTTGAATAATGGAACAGTAGTTGAGGAAACAACAATCACAGGAAATGGTCGTTTTCCATGGACTAAAACAAAACCATAGTGAAAGAAACATCTTGTGAATGTAAGAGGGGAAAAACTACATTACTTGCATCTAAAATCAGGAAATTTTATGACAATTGTCTACAAAAGGAAAGATGAAACAATTACTGCCATTGTGTTGAAAGAGGTTAGTAAACAAGATGGTAATACAGTAGCCAAGTGGCAATCATTCCTTTTCTCTAAAACCCCAGAATTTTCCTTTTCAAAATCCATCAATATTTTTAGGGTTGAGATGCACTAAGATGTTGTTCCTATATCCATATATATAATTACCATTTATTAAGAAAGTTGGAAATTAGTATTTGACAAAAACTCTTTTCTCTCTGAAAAATTAGAAGTATCTATGATTAGCATACAGTAAAAATACAGATTTGAAATTTAAGGATCTGTACTTCCTTGTATCCTCATACCAATTCAGACACACAGACTGAAGATTTTATATTTTACACTGCATGAATTAATCATATTTTGTGGTTTCTCACAAGCCTTTCAATAAAACTTTTATTTAGAAATACATAATGAAATACATGGTTATTGAAACCATGTTCAGCATCAGCAGGATAGAAGATTTTGTTTTTATTCATTAAATCAAATTATCCAAATAAAAAACCTGGAAGTTTAAAAATTTTAATCCTTAATCTCATTTATCAGCAGATTTGCTAAAAAACATGACACTAAACTAAGAAGTGGAAAGGAAACTGACATGTGATGACATTGGAAAAACAAATGGCTTAAGAGTATATCAGTACATTTTCTAGTTGGGTAATTAAGACCTGGCACACAGAAGTACAGAGAAAAACATATAACAGAGTAATACACCTCTCCCCTTTACAAGTAAATAACTGTTTTTGTATTTACTGATAAACTGCCAGAAGGAAGATACTTCCTTTGTCTACTCTAAGAGTCTAGTGACAGAAAGTCGGCTGCAGAATACACTGACCTCACATTAAGGATTGAACTTCATATTTGGAACACAGACAATGTAAAGAAACAGCAATTTGGGAGAGTAATTAAAATGAAAAGGATCAAACTGAAAGCAGTTTTAGAAAAGTGGCCTTCAAAGCAAGGTTAAAAGACAAGCAGAAGGAAACATGTAAGGCAATTGAAAGCACTCTGTAGGGAAATGCTCCTGGATTTTAAAGAGTTTTCATCCAAAAGAACATTCATGCACTTCACAGATGGATGAGATAACCCTTTCCACTACTATTAGAAGGAAAACACACACCTGCCTTGCCTCTGGCCCTCTACACATGAAGGCTCTTGAAGCCCAGTGTGGGCTGCTCAGCATCTGACCAGGATTAAAGGAGCTCCCATGCTGAGTCCAACCACTGATCAATAGAACTACCTGCCATCTGACTATATGCTCTTCAGCTACTAAATTTTAGGTTACTGGCAAAAAACCTGGCTAGTTACTCATAGAAGAATACATTTTACCTTTTCATAGTTAACAGTAAGCTTTCAGAAGAAAGGACTAAATTAGAAGGCACATTATAATATGAATAGCTCTTTTCATTGAAAGACAAAGTTCAGCACCTCTGAGCAAGAAAAAAAGGCTAAAATAACAAGCTAAAGTCTAACATAATCAGACTATAAAGGCATGGAGACACTTCAAAAGTAATCTCGTTCTTTATGCAGAGCAATTTACAAATCCCAGATTCCTTCCTGAAAGACAAGAGGCTGTACAGGCTCCACTGACTGAAGTTATGTCCATGAAAACTATCTGGCCACACATATAGGCAATGGTGTTAATCCCTGCCTTTCCAGTTGCTTGTTTTCATAAAATAGATGGGGGGAGGGGCACTTAATTACTCTGTGAAATTCTGTAAACGTCAAACTCAGTTATCAGTTTTTAAGATACCTGGAATGTTCTGATGATGATGCTGTCAGTGGTCTCAACTTCTTCATTTACAGAAAAGTTAACATTCAGGGTTTGTGGTAAGAACATATAATTGTGGAGACAACAGGTGAAACAAATAGTCTACAATGTATGATTTGTCCCACAGGGTAACTGACATGACCAATTAGAGTTACAATCTAGTTAGAAGGCAGACACAAATTCCCAAGGACCTTCCCATTCCCCTCAGGCTTTTTATTGCACTGTTGGATTAACCCTGTTCCAGCCACTGAGCAGATGAGATGGACACTAGGAAGACTGTACTGGTATCACTGACGAACAAAAATAAATCTAGGAATCAGAATATGGGAGGACTAGGAGGCTTTACTATCCTGCTTTAAGTTACTGAGATCAAAGGGAATTTAATTTGTTCAGCAACAGTAAGAAAAAAAAAATCTCAGGTTCTACTGTATCTTGCAAAGGGCTGTAAAACTAAGATCAATTTCCTAAGTGTAACTAAACATCAAGGAATCCAGTTAAATACCTAGGAGACTACAGAAACACCACATTCCTTACAAAGATGCCACCAGCCAGAATTTCTTACAGATCTTCAAGAAGAAAACAGGCAGATAAGAAAGCAACAGAGTCCTAAATTAATGTCAGGAACAATTTTATAACACAAGCTATGAAAGCAACAGTCAGTAAACACCAACAACTAGACTCATATATAAACAAAAGACAACATCAAGACAGAATATAAATGCTAAAAATTGAGGATTGAAAGATTTTACAGTTATACATGTTAATAAATTTTGAGTCATAAGTACTATTTACAAAAAGTATATTTGAAGAAAGTATAGATGCTTATCAGCAAATTAATCTAAAAATAGTTATGGCACCTAACATGAACTAAGAAATGCTGCATTTCCTCTGCTATGTCTAGTACAGTTAAGTCTTCAAAATTATGTATTAAAAAAAATCCTTTCATAGCCTGACTCATGCTTTAGTAAGCTAAAAAGCCATGAGATCTCTCCTCTGGGACTTTCCTCTGGATGTCATCAGAAGTAAAAGCCAAAATACGGAGAACTCAAAACCTATGTCACTTGTAGGGTGCACAGAAATACTTTAAGTACTTTTTTTTTTTTTTTTAGTTAGGATTAGCACTTTTGTGAATCCTGACACAAAACTGTTTTCCCCATCCCTGAGATTGGTTGAGCATCCCTTGGAGATACTTAGGCCAATTACTACTTTGAAATACACTTGAGACTGAAGCAATGAAAAGCCTTTAAGTATTGAAAAATTAGTAAAAACCAACACTATTACTGAACTACTGCTGGAATTGAACTGCAGGCAAGGTTTCTATTCATCTGACAAAACACTGTAGACAGGTCAGAATTCTCCATCATCAAAAGTGACATTTTATCCCCTAAAAGAGAAGAGCAGAGAACTAAGCATTTCAATAACATTGCAATAGAGATTTTTTTGCTTCCATACTCATGCAGATACAGAAGTAGCTGAAGTCTGTTTTCCAGCACAACTTCTATGTTAACTTCAATCCAAAAGATGGAACTGATCAGCAAATTTTTGCATTAGAAGTTACCAACACTAACTAGT